ATTTTTTTGATATTTTTGCCTTTTCTTATGGGTTTTGGCTCAGATTTGAACCTTGGAAGTGTTTATTTCTCCTAGAACAAGTCACGAAATATGTGCCATCGGATGCGGCTAGATCCCGCTTTTCCAGTCACTTTAAAGACCTTTTAAATGAAAACTTCTCTTATTTTTTGCTTGTTTTCTGCTGAATTTTCATCTTTAGGCCGTTCTGATGTGTTATGGTTCACATTTCATGCTGGGGAAGGGTTATTTTGCCGCGGATGGTGGGGTTGTTTTGGGCCGTTTTAGCTCCTGTGGAGTGTGTCTCGAACTCGTTTTGCTTGTTATTTTCCCACTTAGTTGATTCCTTTTTAATGAGTTTATTTTTATTTTGACCCAAAACAACTGTTTTGAGACTCAAGTCTCCCAATGTGATTTGTAAAGAACTGCAGAAGTAGAGCGTTAGTTTGTGCCTTTTAGCATGTCATTGATCGATTCATTGGTACATAAATGTATCCCTCTCTCTTTCTTTGTTTTACGGCAGCTGTGTCTATGCTACTTCAGATTTAGTTTACTGAAAACTCTCACAGTTCTATTTTTGTTGCAGTGTCACCATCCGTCGCTCCTGCTGGAGGCTAAGCTGGCTAGCGTGTGCTGGTTTTGGTGCTGTTTCTTGCTGCTGTATCCTTCCCAGCTTTTCAGTGGTTCTTGCATGACACATTCACCAAAGCAAAACACATCTTGAATCTACTTTCTTTTCACATTTCATTCACTGATCCGCTTTATTTTCGGGAAAGAGGTCTTTGCATGGGTTTGACTTGTAAGGGTAATCCTCGGAAGAATTAACATTTGCGGTCACAGAATTTTACTCACAACAACTGAAGTAGTTGTTGTTAGCCACCACAATTTCCAACATTATATGTGAGTGGTGTGTATTAATTTGCACTCTTTTAATTCAGAATGCGAGGCAGAGTGTCATATCAATTATTTTAACAGAGTGAAAGTGATCGCCACAAACCAGTTATGTTGTGCTGTGCAGAATGTTTTTGCAATGGAAGTGCCTTGAACTATTTAACTTTTCATCCTTGGGTTTGAATTGCCTTCCATTTTTCTTGCCCGAGGAACCGCCCTGGCCCAGTGATGTTTGGCTGCTTGGAATGTGTGTTTGTGTGTGTGCTGTTGAGAGGCCTTATCATATTTAACATTTAAACCTTGTGTGTGGAGTGCCCACTAACAGTTTTGCCCTAGGAATTATCCCGCACCAGGGATGTTTGGCCGTTTGACATGTGTACGAAGGAGGCTTGTGTGTGAAGTGCCCACTAACGGATTTGCCTCAGGAATCATCCAGGACCAGGGATGTTTTGCCGTATGAGGTGTGCTATGGAGACTTGCGAGTGAAGTGCCTACTAATTTTTTTGCCAGTCCTGACGAGAGGAATCTGATTCTGCATGACAAAATTTAATCTAGATTATAGTCTAAAATACATTGTTCCATTTAAACAGAATATTTTCTGCTGCATCAAAAATTGAAGGGAAAAATATGATATTGATCTATTGAAAACTCTTGGTCGGGGATATGAGTGGTGTTGATTCCCCAATATTTTTGGCATTACTCAGAATTAAATAGATTTTTTGTGGGAATGATTTCTTTTCATCCTTTTGTTTTCAAGATTGAGCAGACCTGTGTTATCCATAAGTTTAGCTCCTCAATAATCAAGCAGTGCATGTCTGTTAATTTTTTTTTTAAAATGAAGTGTGTGCTGTGGTATGGTTTGGTGTGGGATGGTTTTGTGTGGTATGGTCTTGTGTGGTATGGTTTGGTGTGGAAAGTGTGTTGCGTGATGGTGATTCTAGTATAACTCTTGCTTGGAACTAGAATTAGGCCTGTGAGGTGAGAAAAAGTGTCTTGTTTTTTTTTTGTTTTTTTTTTTTAAATTATTTTGATAATTTATCTAGGCATGCAATGGACTTTTTTTCTCTGCCCTAATTCTATGCACTCCTTTTAGTGTTCTCATCTTTTATGTTTGCTGTTCCAGGTGTGTTTCACTGCAGCATGACAGCAACCTTGGGAAAAATGCAAGCCAATTCAAGGCAAGGTGGCTTTTAAATGGCAATGGCTCATAAATGACCATTGTGCTTTGGATGCATACCTGCTCTTAAGTGGCTTACATTTTTCCTGGGGAAGGAGACCTTGGTATTCGACTTCCTGTTCATCACAACAGAAACCACGTCAAAGTCATCTTTTTATTTTTTTGTTATTCATCTAGATTGCTGCTATCTTGTGATTAAAGCACGATTGAGAATAAAATAAACCAAACAAAGCGTTATTCTTTTATCTGCCCTTACTCCTGTTTGTTAAATGAACTGAGCATATAACACTAAAACAACCAACAGTGCCTGAAGTGCCCACTGAATATGATTTCACACCTTTTTGTCTTCAAATGTAGTCAAGGGGCCAACAACTTCAAAAATATTTGTGCACCATCATTTCAAATTCACCTTCCAAGGCTATTTCATGTTTTTCGTCACTTTTTCTCATGTTAAAGGTGTTTAAGGGAGACTTGCACCTAAATTCAAGTTGTTTCCCCCTCGAATATAGTAACTACTGAATGACAAAACGAAAGAACCCTAGTAACTGTGGTACCGTAATGTTTCCAAAATTATATCAGTGGAGCACAAAAGTGACTTCCTAAATTAAATTCAGGCCAATTCAAAATTTTGTGAGCTACAAACCAACACATGCAAAAATAAAAGCTAAATTTAAAAAAAGTCAGCAAAAACAATAGGGCACCTGTGTGTTCTGTTCATAGAATTTTTCTTTGAGAATTTGGTGCCATGGGAAGAGGAGAAAGAAACACAATTCAAATATTTCAGTATCTGTATTTATTTTAAGTATTTAAAAAAAAAAAAAAAGATTAGGCATGACAAATTTGAAGTGGCAAGGTCTCAAAATAGATGATCTTCACTCAAAGTTTGTACAAGTGATGCAGACACACCCACAATTTTCTTTAACTGATAATTCAGAAACCACGATGAACCCAAGATCTACAATCTTCCACCCTGGCTACAGAGCAACACTCCAGAGTGCAGACCGGGACAGATATGACCAACTCACTTCAACACTGACTGGTGGCCTTGACCCCTTCACTCTGGACTGGAAGACACTGTCAGATGACATTGCTTTGCTACCCACTGTTAACATTGTAGACATAACAAACTACCTTGTGTTCACAACTAAAGCACATACAATGGTGCAGATGAAGGCATACAAAGCAACAGAGGCCCACAACTTCCTGACAAATGGCTGGATACAAGGAATACGCTGCCATGCAATTGACACAAATAAAGTACTCATTCTTGGCAAGGTACAATACTCTCTTTAAGCAAAATGGAAAGCCATCAGTCACCAAATATTAATCTTTGTCAATTTTTATTTCTTGTTAATAGGTAAAACACTCCTTCCATTTCAACGATCCTGTTGCCAAAGCATGGGTATTGATTCTGAAAGATGGGACCATACTCGCAGGTTGGTGCTCATGCATAGCTGGACGTGGAGAAGCCTGTTCTCATGTTGGGGCAATATGCTATGCTGTTGAATTGGGATCCACGAAACGTGATGCCCTATCATGCACTTCAAGGGAATGTGAGTGGTTGCCGGTTGCCCTGAGAAGTGTTCCTTTAACACCAATCAATGAGTATGATCTCACCCCCCCCCGACACCAAGAGGAAGCGTTTACTTCATCAGGCTTCGGCAGGCTCACAGCAAGCTCCTGAAGATCCTGATGACCCTGCAAACACAACAGAACAAAGAACACCAAGAGCTGAACAACAACGTACACCACGAGTACTGACTGAAGACCAAAAAAAAATGGTACTTACCGTGGGGGAAGTTGAAGACTTTCTTGGTATTCTGAAACTGACTGATCCCAACTGTGCACTTCTGAGGGTCAGTGAGAGACACAGTGAAACACCTCAGAAACCAGATGACGGATTGCCAGCTTCTCTCCTGGATTTGTACAATGAAGAGAAATATGGAAACTTGACATATGAAGAGCTGCTCCCGGAGTGCTACAAGATTTTTGACACCCTCTCCCTGACACGTGAGGAGTCAGAAAAAATTTTGCAAGCATCTAAGGGACAGGGTGAGAGCAAGAGCTGGAAAAGGTTAAGGATTGGAAAACTTAATGCCTCTGAGATTCACAGTTGGTTGCACACTTCAGTTGAAGAGCCAGCCATCACGTACATAAAAAACAGCTGCTATCCCTCTGCAGAAGACAGGAGGACCCAATATATGAAAGATGGCAATGCGTGGGAGGATGACGGCCGATCTGCCTACAGGGCAGTCATGACAAACACCCACAACAACTTCAGGGTCAAAATCTGCGGGTACTTCAATGTTCCGGAGTACTTCTACTTAGGTGCATCGCCAGATGGCTTATGCAAATGTGACTGCTGTGGAGAGGGACTCGTTGAAATTAAAACAAGGCAAACATCAGCCAGCAACGAGATCCCTCCTAAACACATGTACCAAATGCAGCAGCAAATGCTCCTGGTGCTAACATACTGCAAGTTGAGAGAAATACACTGTGACTACGTTATCTACAGGCCCAACGAACCTCTGTTCATTGAGAGAGTTTATCCCGATCAACAAATTTGGCAGGAAATTATAGACGAAGGAAAGAATCGGTTCATCAAGATAATGCTTCCAGAACTTACTGCTAGATACTTCACCTCTTTGAAGAACTTGCTCAACTGCACCAGGACAACACAAGTGGTCTGCTACTGTTTGCAGCCGGCAAGGCAGCCAATGGTTAAGTGCTCCAATGCAATGTGCACTTTCTCGGTTTTCCACTATGGATGTGTTGGGATAACCCACACAAGGAGAAAAAACTGGAGTGATTGGCTATGTCCAGAATGCACTCAGAGAATATCTGCAAATTAAAGACTTGATTGAACAATAATATTTCGAAGTTCCTATGTGTGACAGATAATTCACATTCTGCTAATAAAAATAACAGGGTGCTTATGTCTTCAAGTTTATCGCCAAGATTTTACAAGTGTTGAGAGCATTCTTTAGACATTGATAAGACTTTGGACATTTTGAATATATTTTATCTATGCTTTCTAGCAGTTCTGAGATTACATCTTTTGTACATATTTATTTGTAACTGTTTCTGTTTCCTGATTAAACTAATATAAAAGCACCCAAAGGAAAGGATGTATGTATTAGCTTAGCTATTTTATATTATTTCCTTTGAGTAAGGTAAAAGCTTTTACCCACAACTCTCAAATATTTCTTTCGTCTCATGGTTTGTTAATTTGCAATGGAGAAGTATATAGACTTCTTATTTTCTACTTATTAGGCATGCAAAATGCGGATAAATAAATGTTCATGAAAAAAGCTACCCTACCTGTTTATTCTCCTTGAAAGCTTAACAATAAAACCATAATTATTACTAATGACCACTACTTCACATTTAAGTCACAACACACAAAAAATACTTGCAGGAGATATCATTAATTTATGTCAAGTTTCAGTATTGTTTTTGTCCTACAACCTTGAGCCAATTTTCTTAACATGGGTCCCAGTCACACCTGAAAATGGTGTATGCGTGTGCAGTAGTTGGTTGCACAAACCGCAACAACAGGGAGAAAAACCTGTCCTATTACTGCATACCCAAGGTTATCGCAAATCAGTGCGAGAAAACTTTGGCACTTTCTCAAAAACGCAGAGCAAAATACCTGGCCAACATCGGCAGAAAAGACCTGCAAGACAAGGATGTCACTAACAACACCCGAGTCTGCAGTGAGCACTTCACCACAGGTACAGGAATGCATGCATGCATGAAATAATGATTTACTCACTGTGTGTTCTACCATATAAAATTTACAAAGGAATATGCTTACAGGGAAACCTGCAGCCCTCTTCGATGAGACCAATCCTGACTGGGCACCAACTTTGAAGATGCGTCCAGCAGCAGTTACTCCCACTCCAGCTAAGCAAGATCCAGCCAGGAGATACCAGCGAGTGCAAGAAAGGCAGAGGAAGAGGCTGCAGGAGATCGTGCAAAACCATCAAGATGTTGTGGAGCAGCACGGTGGGGAGGAAGAAGAAGATGATGATGCTGGTGGTGGTGAAGACAGGGTTGGTCTAGCAGCTGAGTTGGCCGCAATGACCCTTGAACGTGACAATCTGAAACAAGAAAGAGATGCCCTGCAGCAGCGGGTCGAGATCCTGGAAGAGGAAAACCAGAAATACAGGAAGCAGTATTCGTTTGATGAAGACAGCTTGAGAGATGAGCCAAAGAAAGTTAAATTTTACAGTGGGTTGCCATCTTTTACCACCCTGCTGGCAGTCTTCAATTTATGCAAGGATTACGTTTCAACTTCTCACCGGAATGCGTTGACTCCATTTCAAGAGTTCATGGTGGTCATGATGAGACTACGGCTGAATTTGTTAATGGAAGACCTCGCCTTCAGGTTCGGCGTCACCCAGCCCACAGTGTCAAGGATTCTCACCAGGTGGTTGGATGTGATGGCTTTGAGACTGAAGAGCTTCATCATGTGGCCAGAACGTGAAGTGCTTATGAAGACTATGCCCGAGTGCTTCAGGAAATCTTTTGGCACCTCTGTGACACTCATAATTGACTGTTTTGAAGTGTTCATAGAGAAACCTTCCAATCTGTTGGCCAAAGTAGGAACATACTCAAAATACAAAAAACACAACACGGCCAAGTACTTGATAGGTATCACACCTCAGGGGACAATTAGCTACATCTCCAAAGCTTATGTTGGGAGAATTCAAGACACAGAATTGACCAATGACTGTGGAATTCTGGACAATCTGAAACCAGGCGATGTGGTTCTCTCCGACAGGGGCTTTGATATCTCCAACACAGCTGGCTTCTTAAGGGCTCATGTTGTACAGCCTGCGTTTCTCTATGGAAGACTGCAGCTGACTGGTGAAGAGGTGGACTCTACAAGAAAAATTGCACATGTGAGGATCCATGTTGAGAGGGTGATTGGTCTTGTCAGGAGGAAGTACCTCATTCTGTCTCAAATTCTGCCAACTGATTCGTTGAAAATTAAAGAAGGACAGTCAATGGCACCAGTGGACCAATATGCCATCATTTGCAGTGCGCTGTGCAACCTGTGCCCTCCTATTGTACCCATGTTTGAAAACGAAGATTGACCTGCAATAAGAGTTTTTATGAAAATTGTTTTTAATAAAGTTATTAACTTGCCTTCATTGTGGCGAGTTTCTCCTAGAACAAAATGTTTGTACCCATGTTTGAAAACAAAGATTGATCTGTAATAACAGTTTTAATGAAAATTGTTTTTAATAAAGTAATTAACTTGCCTTCATTGTGGTGAGTTTCTCCTAGAACAAAATGATTGAGATTTCTTTAGCATATTTTCCTGCTAGCAGAAGAGTTTAGTCTTCCGACACTTCAACTAACCTTAGCTTGTGCTGTCTGGTTTCCACAAGTTGAACCAGATATCTTTTTCCCATCGTCAGCCACGTCTAAAAGAGTTTGTGCCCTGAAGTGGTGCAGCATTCCTGCAAGCAGCAAAACTTATTACATAACAATCAAATGAAGGGGAAAAGACCGGGCAGATTGGGTTCAAGTCATCTCGTTGACAGCTCAAACGGTCAAAAACAAACCCTTTCACCGCCGCAAAAAAAAATTAAAAAAACTTGTGAAACACAACACATCAAAACGGACTTAGGTTGAAATTACAAATCATGTCGAAAATCCGTGAAGTTTTCATTTGAAAGGTGATTAAAGTAAGTGGGAAGAGGCATCTAGCCGCCTCTGTCAGCCCCTTATTTCGTGGCTTGTTCTAGGAGAAATAAACACTTCCTAGGTCCAAAACCTAGCCACACCCCATCAAAACAGACTTAAGTTGAAATTAAAGCAAGAATCGTGTCAAAAACCCGTGTAGTTTTCATTTAAAAGGTCTTTAAAGAAGCTGGGAAAGCGGCGTCTAACCGCCTGTCAGCCCCTTATTTCGTGGCTTGTTCTAGGAGAAATAAACACTTCCTAGGTCCAAAACCTAGCCACACCCCATCAAAACAGACTTAAGTTGAAATTAAAGCAAGAATCATGTCAAAAACCCGTGTAGTTTTCATTTAAAAGGTCTTTAAAGAAGCTGGGAAAGCGGCGTCTAACCGCCTGTCAGCCCCTTATTTCGTGACTTGTTCTAGGAGAAATAAACATTTCCCAGGTCCAAAACCGAGCAACCCCGTCACAAGACGAAATTGAATTAAAGAACTGTCAGGCAAAAACCCGGTGGCTAAGATCACGTGAAGGGTACTGAATAGGGACAACGTAGTCTAACCGCTGTCCACTGTCATGGCCGCGGTCACAGCCTGCTCCCGGCAAACGAGTAAAACGTCAAAAGACGAAATGTCGGAATATGTGCACGGTCAAAACACACGAAGAATGCTTCAAGACACGCTGAAGGGTCCTGAATAGGCGTACATCACGTATAGTTCTATCGCTGTCCACTGTCATGGCCCCGGTCACCGCCTGGGCCTCGC